GCGATTCAGGTTCATCATATATCCCTTCTTTTGGCGACTGAGGTTCGTCACATATCGTAAACACGCCTGCATCATGTGTCTACAGCACGCCCCCATTTGGCGAATATTATTCATCATACATCTAATTTGCTACACCCGCCCTCAACCTTTTTAAAGAAAACGAGACCGAAGGGGTTGGGGAGCCGCAGGACCAGGAGACCAGAGGACCAGTGGACCGGGACCACAGGAGCAAGGGGACCAGGTGGACCATGGGCATCGACCAACCCTACCAAGTTGCAAATACCAAAATAGAGTTAAGCATTTGCTCTTGTGTTGTATGAAACCATGGTGGGCAGGGACCAGGGGACCAAAGGACCGGCTCCAGACAAGAGCCAGCGGTTAGAAAAAGAAACCGGGCCCATGAACCATTGAACGACAAAACAGCTTCTCAGAAACAACCGCAAATAATAGGTGGCATCCGGAACAAAAGAAGCCAATCAGCTGTTCCACAAAGCTTGACTTGAACGTGAACGTCACTGATCGTCCAACGTTCTGGGGCTAACCCGAGCAATGAGATGATCAAGACACCCACCATGCATGCTCTGTCCAATCAGCTTCGCAGAGACACATTACACCCAACTCCACAAGCCAGGCCGACTTCGCCAGCCGTCAACCAGGATTCGAAACTCTACCAGGAAGGTACTGAGTCCATCCTACATTTCAACTAAGCGCTAGCCAACCTTTCAATCCGCACAGCCTCAAAACACCAATCTGCCTTGCTCCAAGCAGATGCGGCAGCTGCGACGTTCAGGAAGCAAAGCTTCCGGCGGTGCCGAAGACTCTTCCGGAACCGTGGCAACAGTACCCTGCCCGGAAGGCCGTGGAATCTTCGTAGTCTTAGCGTATCGCAGGCGTAGGTTTCCGGAGTATATGAAGAACAGTTCAGAAGTGCTGTACCGAGTGGAAGGCACATGCAATCATTTACTTTGGAGATGTTGTTACCAGGTGCACTGATTCGTTTGGACAAGCTTGGCTCGATTGCGGCTTGCCATCAGCACAAGCCACCTCAACACATCTGGGATTTGTTGCGGCAACAAGTTGCTTTGGCCCGTTGGACCTATCAAACGTTTTCTTCACACGTTCGAAAAATCATTCCAGCCTTTGGGAACTTCAGCATGCGACAAATATTATGATGTTCCGGATGGCGCTTCCCAAATTTCTCCAATACAGCAAAAGGCGAACCTCAGGAGCCAACTTCTAATTCTTGGAGCTTGAGCAACGTTGTAACATGTGGAACACAACGACCTCGGAGCGAAGCCCATAAGTTCGCTTCTTCAGTCTCGAAGCATGAACTTCTGAACCCTTCAATCCGCCAAGCCTCCAAGCTTCGCATCACAGCAACCTGCTGCTCCAGATAAGCTTCTGGGCTTGGGGTGGTGGGGCTTGCTGTTGCAGGGTTTAGACTGTAAGGCTTCACAAGCGTGATTCTCGAATGTCAGCTTTGATCGCAGAATGATGCCAGAAAGTTCCACGTTTATCTATCGGGAAGTATCCGCATGCTCCGTGTTATTCGTGTTGAGCTCTGTGTGGACCTAGGCGTTCGCTCCGCAAGTTGTCAAAGTTGTGTTTCAACGTGCACTGCCGTGGATTACAACTGATACCTGGTAGATGTGAAACAACACATTCCAGTTCACGGCCCTATCAAAATCAGGATTATAGTAAACTTGTAGTGCACCAGGTACCCTATGAACAAGGAATCTTAAGATGTTCACAGCCCGCTGTTTGCTGCCACCTCCCCGGAACCACTCCCAGATTTGCTGACGTGAGGGCCCAACATAAGTGACCCAGATCCAAGATCTCTGAGCCACGAAAGGCTCCAGTTCCCTACTCTTCACTGCCGCCACATCGAGAGGTGTGGAAGCAACCCCTGTGCTTCAAGTGTGGCAGCGGTGTGCCTCATGCTAAATCACAAGGCTTTGGCCCACAATCGGAAACCTGTGACTGCACTCCAAGCCCTGCCGCTGAATCAGAACATTCACTGATAACGAAGGCAAAGGCCTCTGCAAAGGCAACGGCTCTTCCTCCGGAAGCGGGCTGTCCCAAAACGCAAGTCGAACAAGGACGAGGCAGGCAGGGCAGGCATGACACCTAGGGTTTAAGGTGCTATAGGCTGGCTAGATATCTGAATGACATAAGCTACGAGGCAGACAGGTGTCAATTGGCCATTCTCTGACAGAAACACACATGCGAAAGCTGCAGTGCTTGGGGGAAGTCCGCATCTGCCGATCCCGTTCAGCTTGCATCTCCTACATCGGTTGAAGTTTGACCCCGAAGCCAAGAACTTGAACCCCAAAGAAACCCCACAGTTTCGGGCTCAGCTCTAGGAACCGAGGATTCAGACACCAACCTTCCCGTCTGGCGGCTGCGCGGAGTCGGCCGAGAAGCCTCAAGAGGGCTGGGCCAAGGCGATTTGCGGGCTCTGTGCGTTGATGGGATTTGGCTGACGATTTACGGTGATGGCTTCGGCTTCAAAGCTGAGAGAGATCAGCGCGAAGTGAAGTTTAGAGGGATCTGAGTGTCGGAGATGGGCTAGGCTAGGAATAGTCTCTGTGCGTGCGGGGACCGGAAACCCCATCCAGAAGTCTGACACTACGGCCGAAAATTGAAACACCCCCAGGTGCCCTGAGCTTCGGCCAATGCCAACAACGAACGGTGGCAAGGATCTACTGCACTGGCCTTAAAATCACAACAACACAAGTACTCAAGGAGAAAGCCTTGCGGAACTGAGTTGGAAGTTCCCAAACATGTCGATCCGAAGCCGCTTGTAATTAAGTAAATTCATCTGAAAGCCTATCCTACCTGAATACGGCCTCCTGTCCCAAATTCAGTCTCTGCACCCGTATGGGGTCGACTTCTTGCTTGACCGACTTGTGGGTTCTGTAGGCTCATGCTAATGAGCGTCTCGAAATCTGGAGTTGAAGACCGTTTCCTGCTTTCCTTCAACATCAAAGCTTCAAGTTGTTGCATGCTCCCATGGCCCCCAATACTAAAACAGACTTCACTCAAATTGTCAAAGGCCTCCGCTGCATGCAAAAAGGCCGGTCCAGGAGCGACCCGAGGTCCTGAATTGGATTTACTTGGGGGAGGCTGGAGCAACGAGGGTTCATCGCCGTAGGGGTTTAGAACATTGCGACCAGTTGAGCATTGTAGCGAGTTTGATTGAGCATCCGGTGGGGTCTACGTCATGGAGTTCTTGTTAAGACGAACTGGGATGTGGCGACCCTGGCCTTGTCAGGTCGTAGAAACTTGCCAGTCAAGGGGTCTCGTGGGCTCGTGTAAGACGTACACTTTGGCTTTCAAACTTCGCCAACGCGTCCTTCACAGCGTAGAGCCTCAACCATGATGTGTGACAGAGCACATTGGTACAGAGCAATGTGGCACACTGTAGAATGTAAGCAAAAACTATAAAACAAGTATGTGCATAGAAGCAAAACACACACAAACACAAACACAAA